CCCAGAGCGTGCCAGGAGGCCCTGGAGGCCTTGGCACGACAGAAGGGATCCCTCCTGGGATCTGAGGGAGTGCAGGGGGACCCTGTATGATCCTCCTGCAGCCTCTGTGCCTGAGCCATGCTGAGGCTTTACCTTTCCCTGACCCTTGGCAGTGCCAGCAGCCCCCATGCCAAGTTAGGGGAATGTTTCCCAAATTATCCAAGCAGGGAGCAGCCCTGCCAGGGGCCACAGCCTGGAGAAACAAGGCCAGAAAACTGGGGGCAGGCAAGCACTGCTTGTGCTGGAGAAAGGGAAACCACGTGCTCTCTGTCTGGCCCCTGAGTCCTGTCCAGGGGCACAGCGTGTCCCCCAGGGTCGGAGATCTCCACCCAGGCAGCACCAGCCAAGCCTGGAAAGGGAAGGTAGGAGAGCACAGGAGAGATTGTGGGCAAATGTGAGGGATGCCCAGGAACAGGGAGTGAGGGCAGACACTGGGAGAACTGGATTGTGGCCACTGCAGAGTGTGAGCAAGACTGAGAGGAGAGAGAGAGGCTCTGAGACCACGGACTTGCAAGGCCTTTGGGAGCTCCCTTGGCTTCCACTGCAGCCACGGAAACGTTGCCACCCCAGGATATTCCCTCCTTCAGAGACAGCAACAAAGTGGGAAAGGACATTTCCTGGCAGTGTCAGCCCTCCCATGGGATTGCCAGGGGTGAGCAGGACACACTGACGGGCACAGTTGTTCCTCCAGGTGTGGAGAAGAGGAGACTGGGCAGGACCAAGCCAAAGGCTGTGGCTGGCAGGGCACACAGAGGAGCAGTGGATGCTGAGGTCACCAGGAAGATCCTTCTCAGCAACTGCCTGGTGGCCGTGGCCGGGGTCCTCACCGTGCTCTTCCTCTGCCTGGTGGTCCCTGCCTGGGCAAAGGACATCCAAGGGTGAGTGAGGGGTGGGGGGCAAAGGATGTGCTGTGGGGGGCAGGGGTTGCCAAACAAGTCTCGGGTGGCTGTGCCAGCCGTGGGGTGTCTCGAGCTGTGCAGCTCTGGGTGCCCAGTTGGTCACTGCCCAAACTCAGATTTGTGTTGGGAGATGATGCCCCGTGTTCTGCCCGGAGCTCTCCGTGCCCACAGCTCCCCTGTGCACCTGGGTGCCCACATCCCACAGGGTGCCCACATCCCAGAGGGTGCCCACATCCCATGGAATGCCCATATCCCAGGGGTGCCTACATCCCACAGGCTGTCCACATCCCAGGGGTGCCCACATCCCACAGGGTGCCCACATCCCATGGAATGCCCATATCCCAGGGGTGCCTACATCCCACAGGCTGTCCACATCCCACGGGGTGCCCACATCCCACAGGGTGCCCACATCCCATGGAATGCCCATATTCCAGGGGTGCCCACATCCCACAGGATGCCCACATCCCAGGGCTGTCAACATCCCCCGGGGTGCCCACATCCCATGGAGTGACCACATCCCACAGGGTGTCCACATCCCAGGGGTGCCCACATCCCACAGGGTGTCCACATCCCAGGAGTGCCCACATCCCAAGGATGCCCACATCCCACAGAGTGTCCACATCCCAGGGGTGCTCACATCCAACAGGGTACCCACATCCCACGGGATGCCCACATCCTACAGGGTGCCCACATCCCACAAGGTGCCCACATCCCACGGGGTGCCCACATCCCATGGGATGCCCACATCCCATGGAATGCCCACATCCCACAAGGTGCCCACATCCCACAGAGTGTCCACATCCCACAGAGTGCCCACATCCCAGGGGTGCCCACATCCCATGGAGTGCCCACATCCCACATGGTGCCCATATCCCATGGGGTGCCCACA